CTCCATTCACAGGATGATTTATTGTACTCTTGACAAGCGCGCTTTTGCTGGTCCTTCGAACTGAAAGTTTTTGAGCGAGTGCGTCTTCTTCTCCGGCTTGCTGCCAATCCTCTTCCTGTTTCTGGAATTCAACTGCTGCTCCAGACATGAAGCATCAAATTTCTGGGCTGTTGAGTACCAAAATTCCTTCTCAATCATGTTCAAACGCCTCAAAAACAGCCATTTGTCAACTCAACTCGCACTCTGTTCACAGGATGATTTACTGTACTCTTGACAAGCGCGTTTTTGCTGGTCCTTCCAACTGACAGTTTTTGAGCGAGTGCGTCTTCTTCTCCGGCTTGTTGCCAATCCTCTTCCTGTTTCTGGATTTCAACTGCTGCTCCAGGCATGAAGCATTAAATTTCTGGGCTGTTGCGTACCAAAATTCCTTCCTCAATCATGTTCAAACGCCTCAAAAACAGCCGTTTGCCAAATCAACTCGCACTCCATTCACAGGGTGATTTATTGTACTCTTGACAAGCGCGTCACAACAATAAAGGTCAACAGATAATTATGTCGTAAGCGGGATGAAAAGGGCACAATCGACCCTGACAAATGGGGTGGCTGAAGCTGTAAGGGCTCCGAAGGGACACCGTGTTTATGGGCGGTTTAGGGGCTCGAGTGGATTAGCTTGTCGACGGTAAATAAACCGAAACACCAGTCTAATAAAAGCCGGTTTTTGTGACAGTGTCAAGTGAGTTTGTCGAGTGGGATCAGCACAATTGACGTGACCGCTGGACAAAGATTTATTGCCCAATTGGCCGTAAACCATCACTGAATACACCCGCGAGTTTTGATCGATCACATCTGAAATTGTCAACGGTAACTGTCAAAAGTGACAGTTGACGTTTAAATGGACATGTCAAATTTCGTTGGTTGGTTTGTATCTGTTTTCTTCACTGTCAAATAATCGAAATGTCAGTAACAAGTTTGACATAAACTGTCTCCTCCATCTGGCATTGGCAACAATGAAGAGGCATCAACATTAGCTTTCCGAAATGAGGCATTAAACGGTTGTTCACTCAGCGTTAAGGCTTTGGAAGCAATAGTGGATATTAAGAAAGCATCAGCTGCTGGACTCATTAAATATGGAATTTCTCCTGTTCATAAAAAAATCCGTAAAGACGATAGATCCAACTGCAGATGTATATCGACACTGCGCGGTATACCCTGCACTATAGGAGAAGGTAAAGATGACCTGCATATAATCACCAGGGGACTGTTTGAAGAGTATGCAGTCTGGGGAGGCTCAATAAACGCATCCAAAACAAAATGTGCATCGCTGCAGATAGTCAGTAAGCTCATGTACGTTGGGACGAAGATCGCGACTGGATGGTCATACAAACAGGGAAATGGAGGAGATAATAGTGAGGGGAGAAGAGTAGCGGTTTGTCCCAATTCCATTCTAGGCTCAAAACAAATGGGTTGGAGAGAGAGGAAACACCTGCTTAATCCTCCGGAATATCAAGGTATATATATCAAGGACTCAAAATCGACAATGTATGTGCATATCATAAATTAGACCTGGACCCTTCAACAGACTCGTCAAAAACGCAAACATTAAAATCCAGTGGGAAGGAGGCCGCAAAGATAAAGGACCACCAAATGCTGGATGGACCTCATCCTCTGGGGAGGACATGAACAGGCAATAGCCTACAATAGGTGCCCATATTAGAAAGAAAGAAGAACAAGAAGAAGACCTGGACCCATAAATCCTCATGGGCAAAATCAACTTTCTAACTGCTCATCAGAACATCAAAGAGCATTCAATTCCTCTTTAATGTGTGCTTTTTTGCTTGGGATCCACAACCGTATCATTCATCCTGCTGTGCTATTTTAATGAATGTCACACAATGCGCAACATTTTCATTATGTCTCTCTAAATAAACTTGTGTAATGCCGGAAAGGTCAACACAACTGGAGCAGAATCAGGGGGGTGAAGCAGATGAGAGCCCCCTGCTGTGCAGCCGCTAATTGAATCTTTCCCACCCTCTTCGGGTTGTAAGATTTCCCTGTTAGCAACGATTATCCAAGCCATAAGCCAGCCGAGCGGCTGTTTCGTAAACAAATTGGCTAATTATATAATTTTTTTTAATAATATCTGCAACTTTCCATCCTTTTAGGCAGTGGCGTGCCCGATCACTGTTATTAGCGGCTTTCGTATTTATTCGCCTAGTAAAAGATGGTAATCGCCCTGTTTGCTTCTGCACCGTGTCGGGTTGAGGAGGAGTTTTCGAATTTGTCATATTTAGTACCGAGGTACTGCCTTTGTCAGTGTTTCCAGCAATTTAGGGCCTCTTCTGTTGTCAGTTTTACGGTAGGCTAATTATGCAGATTGTTCAGTAACTACCGTAAAGGTTCTCATTAGACCTCTGCCGGTCATAGCTGGATTAATGTCTTTTGAGCAATTAATGTGAAATGTTTTTCCCAAATTTCCATTATCTAATTGGGTACTTAAGCAGAGGACTTGTCTAGACAATTCGGAGATGTCGTCCTGAACCATCTAGAATCTGGCCGTTCTAAATGTTTGAGGATATTTTGGAAAGGCGGTTGGTACCTTGAGCGTACAACTAATACCGCTAAATTTGAACCATTTACTTTCACTGGTCATTAGAAGTGGTTCCGATTACATAATGACCGCGCAAAATCTACACTTCGCTAGGCAAGGTTGAGTTTTCGAATGGAGATCACTGTTTCTCAACCGCTCTTCATGCCACCACAACCAGCAGAAACCCGCTCGTTTTTTCCCCAACTGAATGCGACAACGTGTGCATAATGCAGTTCTTGTCTAACAAACATCTCGAAAGTAAACTGATTGTTGAGACGGCAATTATCCAAATTGTCGCATTAGTTTCGCAACAGTCATTACGTTTTATCTTGAGCCGAACCGAGTCCAAATTGGACATCATTTTCGTGTCTCGCGTCTTTTCCATTGTGATATTTGCATGTTCAGGGCAAAATATGGTTAAATGTTTCCATCAACCGTGAAGGAAATGAACATAAAAACCCTGGGAAGACATCGATGAAGGGACGAGAATAGTCCTGAAACAATCCTCCCGGTTAAATTAACCTGGGATATCTAAACGAAATTTTGCGTCAAATTGAAGAAAGTTTGAGTCGATAGGAAGAAGGGCCTGAATATAGCGATGTCAATGAAGATATGTATAGACAGCTGTGGAGGAAGACCCGCTTTGAGCTAAACATGTTTAAAATCTGCAATATCTTCAACTGGGGAGGATAGGGAAGCAAAGGGTACATTTGAAGATAGTAAATTCACAGATTGTTCATATTATTAGGAGATCAAATTTGGGGAGGAAACCTGCCTATTGACTGCATATTCACGATGACAGCAGATGATTTTTTGAAGAAGCTGATTGGGTAGCTAGTGGTGGATTGTGTGAAGATTTAAGACACAATTTGAGCCCAATAAAAGGGTGAAGTTCGGAAACATTTGAAGACATTCAGAAGGACATTTTGAAATGTTTTCCGGGCTTTGAAGCCGTGGTCCATGGGAATTTCTTCCTGACGTTTCGTCCACAACTGCGCTGGACATTATCAAAGGCCTCATCGCTTTTGAGCGCGATGCGGCCTTTGATAATGTC